AAGGAGGCACCACAACTGGAGGAGGAGTTTTCACAACAGGCACTGAAATAACTGGTTAGTGATTTGGAACAAATCAATTTAGATTCTTAACTTTCACTACATGGATTAAAGAATTAGGTGGGAGGAAATCTAAGCCATAAGAAACTAAGGTCAAATTCTGGTGAATATTATAACTGTATGAGAAACTAATTTGTAGGTCTAAGAAAAATTGCAATAGTTCATTAGCATAAAAAATTTAAACTTCTAACCTGGGTCGGTGGCTCAGTTGGTTGGAGCGTTCTCCTGTATACCAAAAGGATGCAGGTTTGATTCACAGTCAGGACACATACCTAGATTGTGGGTTCAATCCCAGGTCAGGGCGCATACAAGAGTCACTAATCAACGTTTCTCGCTCACATCGATGTTTTTTGTCTTTTCCTCTATTTCTTAAAATCAATAAACATGTCCTCGGGTGAGAATTGAAAATTTTTTAAACTTCTGAACATCAAAAAAGGGCCAACAAAAAAATTAAAAAGTACAATTAGCTAGAATTATAACTTTTGAAATACCATCTGTCTCCTCATTCCCACAATGAGAAGAATGGGAATAGAGGTGAGGGCTTGCTTGATAGCTGCTTCAGTATAGAGTATAATAAAATACTTTGTGCCTATCAACTAGGGCTTTGAAAATTCATTGCCCAGAGTTCATTTCTGCAAAGTGCACAAAATAATACCAGATATCATTTACTGAGTACTTATTATGTGGTAAGTTGTTCTGTAGACACTGAGTCATTTGATCATCAGATGGGTATCATTACCCAATCTTGGCAACAAGCTAGGGAGATACATGCAAGTTGAGCTACATGATGATGGGTAAATGTCAGGTAAATTAGGCACTACACTTCCAGGACTGATCACTGGCCCTGGTTCCTTAGTTTGGCTGGGGTATTAAGACTATTATTGCCATTCAGTTATAATACTTAACAAGTCCTACTCCCCACTCCCCTAAGAAAGAAAATATGTGACCCTACAAAGCTGACTCAGGCCCAAATCAGACAATAGAGATTAAGAAGCCCACTCTGGGATTCTAATTTAAATTCAGTTTTGAGTCATTGGGGGTTGATGATCTCTGGCCAGAACCAATTCTAAATCTGGTGAGGTGGAGTGTGCATCAGGAGGCTGGGAGAGGTGACAGCAGGTCCCGTCACGATGCTAGAGTGGGCAGGGTTAGGACACCCCGTGCCATGTATCTGCAGAAGGATGACCAAATCACTTTTTGTTGTGTGCTTAACTACTAGTGTCAAAATATTGTCATCTGTGGATGAGATCCAAGGAACGTTAAAGGTGGTCAAAAAAATTGAATCAGGCAAGGAACGGTGACTCCATCGATCCAAGGAGAACCCAGTCATTTTAAAGACCATCTGTTGCTTCAGGGTAGATCCTATAAACAGGAACAAAGGGCTGATTTCAGAACTCATAACTCACTTTCTAACAAGGTAAAATTCGTTCATACATGGTTCTACTGCTTCTGCGTACAAGTTTTTTCTACTTATTCAGAAGACAGCTCCAAGCCTATTATTGAAACTCACACAGACGAAGTCTGCCAGAATCAGACCAGATTGTTTGGAAGACCTACAGAGGAAAGCTCATTTTCTCTGTAAGTGCGCAGCCAGTAGTAATGCTTCCAGTTACCCTACTGGGCAACTCAGATGGGGAGCCAGTGCAACCCAGCACAGTTGACAGCAGATGTGGCTTAAGTTGAGGCTGAATCCTCTTTGGGGTGTGATTGGTATTTCTTCAGAAAGCTGTCCCTCCTTCTTGGAACCATATAGAAAAGACCTGTGGGGCTACCTGAAACTCCCAGGTGACCTGAGGGAATTCCATTCTTCTTTTACAGTCCAAATTCCTTCTCCAGCCTCACTTTCTGAGCGGATACAGACTTTTTATTTTCTCAGTACAACCTGTTGATGTGTTCTGACTACCTCAGTACCAATTTGAGAACATTAGATACTACTGACAGTGCCCTTGGAGTTCGCAAACCTATCACAGGGTAAACTGACTTCCCGGACTCTCTAAAAACTCAGGGCAGTGGTTCCCACGTGAAGGCAGTGTGGTCTGGGACCAGTCCCACCTCCTAACCCTCCAGAAAGGGTAGTTCCAACTACAGTTTACATTCAGTATTATTTTGTTTTCATTTCAGGGATACAGCATAGTGGTCGGACAATCATATGCTTTACAAAGTGACCCTCCTAATAGTCAAGTACCCACCTGGCACCATACATAGTTATTACAATATTATTGACTATATTCCCTATGCTGTACTCTACACTCCTGGGGTTATTTTATAATTACCAATTTGTTACTTCTTAATCCCTGCACATTTTTTAGCCAGCATCAGGGAACACTTTAGAGCCAGGCATAGAGAATCGGCTTTGGAGTCAGCTCTGGATTCAGAACCTAGATGTGCCAGTTATAATGAGTTGTGGGAATTTAGGATTAATTTCTTACTGTCTGAGTTAAGGATTAGTGTGGTCTGTACCTTTTAGGAATGTTGTGAGGATTAAAGGAGAGACCGTCTGGGAACTGCTTATTCTGTTACCTCTCAGTAAACACACAGTGAACAGTCGTTGTCATGGCACCCTTTGCCCCTATTTGAGACCAGTGCAACTGGGTTTAAGTGTTGAAACTTATTCTGAAAAGAAGTTTCACCTCCAAGCAGTCCTGGTGAAAAACTCACACTGAAATTACGCGTCCTAAACATTACCTCCTCCCTCCTCCCCCGCAATTCTCCGCACAGCAACAGTCCTTCATTTCAGCCTCCACATTGGCGTTTGCCTTCCAGGTACAGGTTGTCCACTAAAATCCAGAATGGGGGTAGGGGGTGGGCGGTGGTGAAGGTCTTTGCAAGTTCTAGGCCCAGGAGTGTCTAGCTGCAAATGGCCATAGCGTCATGGTTAGGGCTAACTAAGCATGGACATTTAGAACTGAGATCTGAATTGGAATCACTTCCCTCACTTCCCCTTTTCCTACTGGTCTTTAAGCGAACATGGCCAATATAACAACTTTGAACCTGCTTTCTTATTCATACAAAGAGGATAATACCTAATTAAGTGGTTGAAAGCATTAAATGAGATAATATTGACATCTAAAGTTCTTAGTACAGTAGCTGGCAGAGTTCAATTCATTACTACTGAGTCCGATTCAAAAAAAGACCAGGTAACTGCGGTCTTTCAGTGCATTGATACTAGTAAGTTAAAACTGTAATCAAACGATAAGCTCTCCAAACAAATATCGGTGAATGTGTATTCTGCCTAATAACGTAAATATTTCAACAGGCTTATGAAGCTGTGCTCACAGTTTACACACTGCCTGTTCGGACTTCTTACCTTTTTTCATAGGAATTATGGTGCTAGCCAAAGGAGATGCACAGGCTCAAATTAGTAATTTTTATACTAAATGAGTTGCCTCTAGGAAGGAGGAGGCCGGGGAAGAACCAACTTTTCGATAACCTGCAGAATATTACTATGATGTGGGAACAATTGTGAGAAACTCAAAATAAGGTGACTCTCAAACCCTGAGGTCTAGCGGAAACTTCCCAGAAGATACAGAAGTTCAAAACCGCACAGGGAACCAATTAGAATTAAACAAAATCGCGCCAGACTGCAACCCGAGTATTCGGCCAATGGAGAAACGGGGAGGGACCGACTGCGTCGCGGATACAACTACCTGCTTTGCGCCTCCGGTGCTGCCTGCTAACGGTCGGACACTCGTTCCCGCAAGGTTGTAAATAAACGCCTCGCTCGCTGAGCTCCAAGCCTCTGAGTCCTTTGTTTGCGGACGGGGTAAGGGCATTTCTCACACTATCCACCCGCTTTTTAACCAAGTGGGGAAACAGATTTAGGGCAAAAGTGGATGAAGGAAGCAATACTGTCGGAGGCAGAATTTGATCGCAGGTCTGAGGCCGCCCATCATTTTACCCATTTCTGTTGGCCCTGACTGTTCAGTTCAGTTTCTCAGGTTTACTCAAGACCATTCCTCCTAAATAGGGTTCTCAGGAAGCCATTGTTGAACTAAAGAGCATTTACTGCCATTTAACGGGCATAAGGATTTTAGTAAGTTAGGAGATTTATGGAATTTGGTTGTCCTCTCGTTTTTCCAGTGGCGATTAAATTTTTTAAAAAAGCCATAGCCACTCAATTACAATGACTACTCAGTCTGCCCGCTTGAAACACTCCAGGTAGATTAATTTTTATGATTCATCTTCCCTTTCCTGTTTTGATGGAACACGAAGACTGAACCATTCTTGTCAATGAAAAACTCGAGTTCCCACCCCGCAAATTCGTGCTGTAATGACAGTCTAATTGGCTGACACGCAGGTGGGATTTCCTGTCCCCATTTTAAGAAAACAAATCTGCAAGAAGTGCCCAGTCAATTTAAAAGGACTGAAACAAAGAATAAGCCAAAGAGAGAAACGGGTCCAGTCTTCCCGCCCTCTGCATCCCGCTCCCGAGTCCGCGGGTTCTGAACGCCCCTGCTCGGCTGACCCCCCACGCGCCCGGCCAGCCGGCCGGTGTCACGTGGGGTTTCCAGGCCACGGACCTGCAGGCCCCTTCGCGCCCAGCCTGGTGCGCGCTCCAGGCTCAGCAAATTCTTCGCGCCCAGGCACACCCAGGCCCCACAACAAAGATCCACAGCTCGGGTCTCGGGGGAGGGCCGACGAGGGCTGCGGCTGCAGGTTCCGGAAGACGGGAGGCCCCTCCCACTGCGGGTTGGAGACAAAGGCTTCTGAAGGTGCCCTAGCGCCCCGCTGCCCGCGTCTCTTCGGTCCCCTACCCGCCAATCTACGCGGCCTCCGTGCTGCCCCGGGGGACGACACACCGCTGCGTCGCTGACCGCAGCTCCTGGAGGCGCTGGCGCTGCGCCTCCAGGAGCTGCGCAGGGGCCCGGCACTCCCGCGGCCGCCCTCGCTCGGCGCCCTTCCCACAATGCAACATCCCTCTCCCCCGCGGCCTGGCCGGACACCGGCGTACCCCAAAATGCGCCTCCCCGTGAGGCAACAGCCCTCCTTTCTTCCGCCTGCGCCCTCCTAGCCGCACCACTTCCATCCCCAAAAGGCTCCAGCCGCAACAGCAGTCGGGTTCTGGGCTCGCCGCCGGACCCCTGGAGGGCGCGGGGCAGGTGTCCAAGCTCCGCGCCAGCCTCCGCTCCCGCTGCCACAGTCAGTGTGCCGGGCACACGCACACCCCGCAACCCCTCCCTCACCCCTTCCCCGATGTTCAGTCTCCGCCAGCCCAGGTCGCTGCATCCTCCGCGTGCGGCGGCGAGAGGGAGGCAGCAGGCGCAGCCGCCGGCAGAGGCAGAGACACCGTGTGACGGCGCAGCTCCGTGACACACGGTTCTGGTTGAAGAGCGGACGCGCGGTGGAGGAGGTGACTGCGCTTGGGACGTGGAGGGATGGCTTGACTTTTCCCGTTAAACCAGCACGAGCCATGGATGCGCACGGGCGATGCGCCCCCCCACTAAGAGAAAGACCACGATTCGAGACCCTCAGCGCCCTAGCGTGTCGCAGTAAGTGCGAGGTTGGCGGGCAGAGTGTGGGTGGGGGGAGAGGGGGGTGACTGATGCAATCCGCCCCGAAAGGAGGAGGAGAGACAGTGGAGCGCGGGCTGGGGCGGCCACGCCACTCTGCCTGAAGGTCGCCGGTAACCTCCGCCCTTCACCTTACTCGGAAATCTGCCACGCCACGTCGAGCTCCCCTCCACCCCCCACCTCCAGCAGACGGAGGACACGTTTTACCGGCTGAGGCAGCCAGACCGTGGCACAAAGGACATCTCACGGCCAGTGGGAAAATCTGGAAGGGCGGACACCTTGACGGCTCTCTCCTTTTGACACCTTTCCCTTTATTGTCCGAGGTAGGGTGATTTTTCCGGACTCGGGAGAGCTGGGGGAGCGGCGGCGGGAAGAAGGGATGCTGGAGATGTGCGAGGAGGCGGCGGGAACGCAGAAGTCACCGGGGCGGGCCTGGAAGGAAGGGGTGCGCTGCTGCGCCGGACGCGTTCGGATTTTCTTTTCGGGAAAGGAAAAGTGCGGTTCCCCTGTTGTTCCGAATGCACGCGGTAGCGTCCGGAGGCGCAGAGGCCCCTCGTTTCACCTTCGCGTCGGCTGTGGCTTACTTTTTCGTTCTGTTTTCTTAGTGGCAGCATGTGGCACCCGCTCTGGTTAAATATACAAGGGTCGGAGACCCGCGGGTCTGCGGGCAGAGCTCAGCCGGCGTGAGGGCGCGACTGCCTACCGGAGGAGAGTTTGCATCCTGGGCTTTTGGGGTAGTTTCCTGTGTTCCTAGGGCCCAGAGGGGAGCATGTGATGCCCCCGGGGTGTGAGTGCGGTCGCCTGGGTCTCAGTGACCGGCCGCGTGGCGCGAGTAAACCGGGGTACGTTTGCCGCCCCGATCTCGGTAACGGAGAGGAGTAAGCAGATGCCGGATGCTGGAGGTGGGGGGGGGGGCGAATTTCTAAAGGATGCTAGCACTGACTCACTGTCCTTTCCCGCTTTAAAGAGGTTCTTTCTAAAATCAAGAAGGGGAGACAGAGGGAAGTGCTGTTCTGGGCGCTGGGATCACCGGAGCTGGCGAACAAAAGCCACCGCTTGCGCGGGGTCCGGGCTGAACTGCCCTGGCCGCCACTGCAGCTCTTCCCCACATCCCGGCAGCTCGCTCGCGTCCCCCCAGAATGTTGCCACAAAAGGCCTTTAAACTGGCCGCGTCGTTGCGGCGGCGGGGACACTCCACCGCCCCAGTGTGCGTCGCCCGGCGCTCGCCGCCCGATCCCCCTTCCCGGAGCGTCGGGCCCCTCGGCACCCCCTGGGGCCCCCACGGGACACGGCGCTGCCTAGACGCTGTTTCCCTGCGGAATCTTTCGCCCCTGTTTCTGGGCAGAACTGTAGTCAGAGAAGGTGGACGTGCATATGGCGGCAAAAGGAATTTCGCGGTAACAGCGTCACGGCGTTCGGGTGCCTTTCACAGGCTGTCTTGGGCTGGGGAGGGTGGTGCTAAAATTGAAAGTCCTTTGTGTCTCGCTCTGCGGCGCAGACCCCGTTTTTATCGCATTATTACTCCGGTGTAAACCTAACTGCCGCCGGGATCACGTACTTTGTCAGATGAATCCATGGTGATGTATGTAGTAAAAAAGACTCCAGAGCTGGGAAACGCTACTTACGGATTTGACATCTCTGCGGTGGCTTTAAGATTTTTTAGTACAAGGGGGAGGAGAGACTAAATCTACGGTTCGCAGACTGCAGGGCCCAGCAAGGCTGTAATTTGTCACTTTGATGGAAGAAACTGTGCAGCAACTCGTGCTTTTCCTGACGTCAGAAAGACAACGGAAAGAAAACCTGATCTAGGTGGCTGGCTGCCCTCATTGTTAAACATCTCCCGCGGGCTTGGGAACCCTGAAAGCCGTGGGAAACTGTCAAGTCGGGGCACTGATCTCCTGTGGGCCCCCCGGATTTGGGGGCAGCCCCAGCTTCAAATGGCTTTACTCTTCAGTCCTCAGTGTGTCACCTTAAGCATCTGGATACCCTGCCTGGTTTGGTTTGAGGTCTTAACCTTCATGAAGTTTATTCACTTTTTAAATTTGTTTAACATATTCAATAAATATTTCCTAGTTGGGGACTTATTTTGTAGCAGACAGCAATTAACTAGCAATTAACCAGATACACTTCCGGCTTCTGTGCTCACGGGAGACAGGCAATAAAGGCACGTATAAATGAATTTCAGGTATTCACTAGTGCAAGAAAGAAATAAAACAGGGTCATTTGATGGGGGAGGGTGCTTGAGGTAACTAACCCTCTAGGGGTGCCTGTGTGAGAGGGTGACATTTGTCCTAAGGTTAGGAGGCCAGGTATCAGGCTATTGCAAGTCTTCTCTTTTCCTCACTTTGGATGGTACATACTTGAAAGCAAACCGATCTTACTCATCATTGTTCCCCTGATGCCCAGCAGATTAGCTGCTTGATGAAACGCCGGTTGGACTGAGAATTTGCCTAAGCTCACTCACTTCTTTATGTTGACCCTCCTTTCTACATCTCATTACTTGTTCCTTCTCCTAAATTGAAACATAACTCGTTTTCTACTCTGCTTTTCCGTCTCTCTTACCCACTCCACACTTCTGAGCAGTTACCAGGCCCTTGCAAATGCCCCTCAAAGCTGTCTTTTCATCCCCATTCCCACTGTCAAAATTCAAGTCCCCTGTCACCTGACCTAGATATGGCAATTCAAGTAGGGTGTGGAATGCAAGAATCATGCAACAGACACAGAGGCACCCTGCAGAAACCAGCGCTCAGGAGAGGAGGACGCAAGTGCGATTCATCGTTAAGAGTGAAGCAGCTAATTAATGAGGTGGAACAGCTTTCTAGAGAGTCTCCTTCATACCAAGCTCCCTTCGTTCAGTCTTGACACACCCATGAGGTCTATATTCCTAAAAATCAGTTTGCATTTTTTAATGAACTTGCTTCTAAAAACCTTCAGTGGGTTCCCAAGTATGAATTCCTTAACCAGCCCTTGGCTGGTGTGACTCTGTTGGAGTGTCTTCTGTAACCTAAGGGTTGTGGGTTCGATTCCCCATCAGGGCACAATACCTAGGTTGCTGGTTTAGTCCCAGGTCCGGTCGCATACGAGAGACAACTGATTGATGGATTGATGATTCTCTTTCCCTTGGATGATTCTCTTTCTCTAAAAGCACTGAAAAAATGCCCTCTGGTAAGAATAAAAAAAATTTTTAACCAGGCACTCAGAACCCTCCACAATCTGACTCCTCACCTTTCTCCATCTCTTCGTCCCAGTTCACCCTTTCCCTCCCCGTCACTTTTCTGACTTAAGATGTGTTGATTCCAGACTGGAGTGCCTACTGAAATTCTATATATTTGTGAAGACTAGCCCAAATGCCAATTTTCTACCTCTCTGAATAAGTGTTTACCTCTTAGCATTTTCATAAAATTGTTTACCTTTTACTGATTGCACTATTGTCACACCAGGTGATGGAAGGTGGCTTTGAGTCGAATGTAAATACAGTCAGCCCTTGGGATCTGAGGGTTCTGCATCCCTGGATTCAACCAACCACAGGTTAAAAAGTCTTTTAAAAAATGTCATGTTTTGCTGACTTGTACTATGTAGTTAGACCTACCATGGTTGCATCTGTGCTGAACATGGGCAGGCTTTTTTCCTTGTCATTATTTTCTAAACAATACAGTATAACAGCTATTTACAATACCATTTACATTGTTTTAGGTGTTATAAGTAATCTAAAGATGATTTAAAGTATATGGGAAGATATGCTTAGGTATATACAAACACTAGACCATTGTATTGGATTGGCCAAAAAGTCCATTACATTTTTTCCGTAAAATAAAAGACATTTTTCATTTTCACCAATAATTTTTATTGATTTGGTTATTTTGAGTATGTTGGCTCTCTCTGGTTATTGGCTTCTAGAGAGTAGGTACCGGGGTGCTGCTAAATATCTTCTGATGCATAAGACAGCCCCACATCAAAGAATTATTTGGCCAAAATGTCAATAGTACCAAGAAACTTCACAAAACATTTTTGACCTGTTCAATTAATCACAACACTTTCTCCATGCACCGCATAAATCTTTTTTACATTTCAGTTGCATTTTTACCTTTCTTGAAATAATGGCATAGTATGCCAAAAATGTGTATTTTCTTCCATCTTCAGTATTAAAATGGCTGAACAAAGATTCACCAATTTCGATGTTTTTTTAAATGCATGCTGATATGACAGCTGTCACAATACAGTCTAACTTGTTTTGAATGAAGTTAAAGACAACTAAGCACATCATAGGGAAAAAACATAAAGGGCTCTTTTGGCCAACCCAATATATAAGAGGCTTGAGCTTCCATGGATTTTAGCATCCATGTGGGTCCTGGAACCATTCTTCCTAGGATACCAAGGGATGACTGTACCAACTCTTGACTCACCAGCCTCGGGAGGTTGAATAAGTTGTTCATATTTCTAAACGTCAGGGGGTTTTGTTTGTCCTTCATTTGTTTAATGGGAATAACGATGGTGGTGGTGGCAGTAGTGGTACCTATCTTAGTGAGTGTCCTGAAGATTTAATTAAAGTAATGGATGTGAAGTGCTTGGCATGGCGTTATTACTCTATATATATTGAATTAAAAGGAACTTCAGGTTTCTCATGTACCATAGGGAGTGGGGAAAGTTCATCAGTAAAGTTCCTCTTACCTCTGATATTCTATGACTATGTAATCATTTAAAAATATTTTCTGAAAATAATAGCTTGATGGAAACTACCTGAATCTTTTCAGTCTCTGGGAGAATAAGCATCTGTGAAAGGTGGCGTGGTGTGGGGGTGGGGGAAGTAAGCACTTTCTAAACAACATCATAGACTTCAAAAAACACACCTTTTAACAGGAACCCTATACTGAGTCATTGTTATACTTGCTCCTAAAATGTGATCACATTATATTCATTGGTTTTCTGGTTACCACCTGTGTGTTAAGTGGCTCACTCTCAGTAAAGGAACTCAGTGATTA